TCTAGCCGTCAAGCAGAGAGAACGTTAGCGCTGAAGAAGGCTACATCGATAACAGTCCCATCGATGCGGAAATGAACCAGCAGAAGTCGGTACCGTCTTCATTTCTGCATCACTGATCACCTCTACCTTGGTTTCTAATGGAGGCCTTTTCATCGCAAACTCCGCCCCTCCCACGGTTACAAGGCTTCTGTCAACCAGGGGGTGAGAGTGTAGAAGGAAAAGCAGACGTTCTTTGGTAGTGGGACTAAGCCTTTAAAGGAGGTAAAGAAAGCGGAGATTCTGTAATAGTGCGCTTGTGTGAGAGCTCCCAGACAGCACAACAAAACGCTGAATTGCCTAGCCTCACGGTTGACAGATGTTCGGAGACACCCTCCGACCTCAGACACGCCCACTTTGGCACGCGGGAAAAGTGACAAGTCCAATGTTTAAGATGAAACCGTCATTTCGTTATTCAATTTCCTTTCATTAGTGCACTGTAGCACCAGACATAGAAGCGTCAACTGTCTATCAATCATGGGTGACATTACGCCACTGTTAAACACCCGAATGACCTCCCTCTTACACAGCAGTAGACACGCCCACCTCCAAAATCGAATGAGGGGAACGGGGAAACGTACCGCAGGACAGCTTACCTTTTTCCATCGATGTCCCGGCGCTCTGCTCTCATATTTCATTGTCATGAACTTATTGTGATTACTGTCATTGAAATTGGCCAATCATGTTCTTTGGAGCGCAGTGCTTCATTGAAGGATCACAGCCCAAAAATTGTCCGCAGTATACTATAATGGAACAAAATCATCCAATTTATCCCACCTTGCCCTGTCGTGAAATCTTGTAGGAAATGTGAAATAGAAATGTTCGATTTGGAATCAGAACATTTTTTGTATGTTTCAGAAGCGTCATCCAGATTGGAAATCACTGCAAAACAACAACTATGGATCATCATAGCTATACTTGCCATTATATTATCAAAAACTTGAAAGTGAATAAAAACATTAAGAACCTGTGAATGTATCCTACGTCTAGTCGTCAGCCTATTCCTATACCTACAGGGCACCATCAAATATGGCATCAAGTGCACATGGAGCTATATGAGATACAATCAGAGCAGAAAAGGAGCAGCGATTCCCGTATAGGCTGGTGTCAGACTTTGCGAATCAAGAGGTGCGCTAGCGTCCGCGGTCGCGTCGCGGTCAGCGAATCGCTCGAGTGGCTGGAGTCTATGGACTGCTTGAACTCGGTCCCTGAAACCGCCCGAATTTAGTGCTCCCGCCTGCGCTCTCTCGCCTAAACAGCGGCTTATGACTACTGCCATCATACACATTCAAAGTTTTGCAACACTGTTGGATTACCCACGCCAAAAGCTCCTCTCACCCCCCCCCCACCTCCAAGGCAGGTTTGGGAAATGGAACCGAGCCAGGCGCCATTCTCTAATCGTCTGTGCTCTATCTACTCAAGGCAGAATTATAGGGCCATAGAAGAAAGGTTCAAGTAACCGGTGAACCGTGGAGGAACTTTCGCTGCCCGGGTGCCGCGCGCGCGATGCCGCGTTGGCCGCGCTACCGCAGCGTGTGTCGCGTGATGGACATCCGCAGCTGGGTTTACTTACTTGAACTTTCCTCTATGGACCTGCCACGAATGGTGCAGAGTTTAGACAATCGGAGAACGGCGCCTGGCTCGGCTCCAAATCCCAAGGAAGAAGGTGAGAGCCGAGCATGTGAGATCATAGTAATCATCAGCCGCTGATAAGGCGAGAGGCGCATTCGAGAGCATCAGATTGGGGCGGTTACAAGGCTTCTGTCAACCAAGGGGGAGAGCGTAGCTGGAAAACACACACTTTGTGTCTTATTGGGACTAAGATTTAAAGAAGATAAAGAAAGAGGAGATGCTGTGATAGTGTGCACTTGTGAGAGCTCCCAGACATCACTACAAAACACTAAACCGCCATGGCTCACGGTTGACAGATGTCCTGA